AGCATTGTGTACGGCCTAGAGCGTCAATACCAAAAGCCTGACGAATCACTTCGAGAGTCTTAGTAGACTTTCCGAGTTTAACATAAAACTTTGGTCAAAACGTTGGTCGAAGGCAAGCACACAGGACGGCCTCCGAAAATATTGAAAAAATTGCAAAAATCATTCGTGAGGATTGTTGCCAGATTTAGCCCTGTTACGTGCGGACTCGTGGAGAATTGAGTCGGGATGGAAGGCAACTTATATTTACCTCCAAACACACTCTCTCTTTCTTTTGCGAGATAAGTGTTTCCGAGTCGAACGAACAATACAGGGCCTTAAACAGGTCAACGGCCGGAAGGGTCGCTCTTACTCTGTCAGTAGGCCGTTTCGCTCGGTAAAGGAAATGAATCCCTGTTAGGCAGGACGGGACCTTGTGCGATCTCGGGGGAACGGGAAGGAGAACGGATTAATAAGCTACTCTGATTTAAAGTTAAATCTTACAATTTATTTAAAAAACAAAGAAATTTTAAAAGATGAGATACATTATTTAAATGTTTAATATTAATTATTACATGAATAAAAATTTAAAAAAATAAAATTTAATGTTCTTAAAGTCTAACATGTACGTGCGTGCGTGCGTGCGTGCGTGCGTGCGTGCGTGCGTGCGTGCGTGCGTGCGTGCGTGTGTGTGTGTGTGAGTGAGAGATGTTCTTTTCGCGAGTGATACATTGATACTGAGGGCATCAATCGGAATGAAGAGGAGAAAGACTAAAATTTAAATACAGTTGGTAATTTACAATAAATAGTTTTAATTATATAATTTAAGTTATAAAATAAAAAGGAGAAAAAAAGGATGAATGGGAAAGAAAGGAAAATAATATTATGGGAGATCTTCAAGTTTTACTGTGGAGGCGGGAGGAAGCTTCATCCAAGGCTTTTACAGGGACGCATATTGAAAGTTGATAACCTGAGATAAAAAACGGGATAATAGACCCGGGAGGACTTACGCTAAGGATATAACGGAATAGATCAAGGTCTGCAAAGTCTGGGCCTACGCGATAACTTCCTTCAGGAAGGGGATCGAGATATGGAGGGAACTGTTCCAGGAGATACCTGAACCAATTTTCTCTAGCCTGTTCTTCGTGGAACTCAAACTCTCCTTCGATATCGAAAGATCTCTGTTCGGGATCTTCCGGTTCCTCTTTAAGATCTGGAAATTCCTCCACGAAGTCCTGGAGGGCTTCCTCAAAATCGTGCGACGCTCCTGGATAAATGTTTATATTAAAATTTAAATAATTATCGGATAACTGTTTCCTTTGAGGAGAGAAAGAGGGAATGAAATGAGAATAATAAAAAAAACTTCTAATAAACTCACTATTTGCTGCGTGGGTAAGTGACAAATTTGGAATTCTCTTGCTAGATAAGCAACCCAAGGTCTATCTCGTGGAGGCCTCAGTTGTCCGGAAGGGATGGCTCGGAGATCCGCTCAATTGTTGTGGCGTTGATTGATGCACTCAAGCGCACACCACACGTCACTTGTCCGCACGAATATTATAAATCTTTAATTTATATAAGATATAACTCTTTGCACTGGAACAACGCGCAGAGAACTGTAAGAATAGACTATCAAAATTTCAAAGTATCGATAAGACAGAGCGAGCTGCAGATAGACTCGGTACAAAACTTCGGATCGAGAGGCGAAGATTTTCTCGACGGTTGATGGTCGAGAGAAGGTAAATATTCAAAGGGAGGAGGGGGAGTAGAAACTCTTGAAGGTTGATGCTCAAGAGGAGCAGGTGAATGAGACTGCTCGGGGAAAGAAACCGAATAAGAAGGAGGAGAATAATGAGGAGAAGGAGTAGAGGGACAAGGTTGTGTATTGCGTGGTTGTTAAGTGTTGTATAAATGTTGGACTCTTAAATTGAACGAATGCTTATCTAAGTTTAATTTTTTATAGTCTATAATAAAGCTAGGATCTGCGGACGCCCGAGCCAGAAGCTTTCTTATCGTGCGATTTTTCCTATTTCTCGCGGTCTTTGCCCAGAGTTTCGATTTTGCAGAAATAGATTTGGGATCTTGTTTCGTGATTTCCACTCGGAAACGTACGTCAAGATTAGTAAAAAGTGGTTTGTTATTGAAAAGAAACAGTTTGATAGTTAATTTCTCTTTAATAATAAAAAAAAGAAAAGAAAAGAAAATAAACGACGCAAATATAAAGTTTTGTATGAATAAATAAATAAAAATTATAATAATGAGAATCATTCTAAAGATGATGGAAGAAGGTTAACTCGAGTCTAAAGTTAAGGGTGAACACCGATCCTTAACATTAGTCAGAGTCTTTAAGTTGATCATACCTGCCGACCCGTAGGGGGAAGAAGATTTTTTAAAGTCTAAAGCTAAATGTGAACACCGACCCTTGATGTTACGTCAGTCTTTAAGTTGATCACACCTGCCGATCCGTAGAGGGAAGAAGATTCTTTAAGGTCTAAAGCTAAGTGTGAACACCGACCCTTGACATTACGTCAGAGTCTATAAGTTGATCACACCTGCCGACCTGTAGAGGAAGGAAGGTGAGGAAATAGACGAAATATTTAATATATAACCGAAATAAATAATAATATGATAGATAAATGTTTATATTAAAATTTAAATAATTATCGGATAACTGTTTCCTTTGAGGAGAGAAAGAGGGAATGAAATGAGAATAATAAAAAAAACTTCTAATAAACTCACTATTTGCTGCGTGGGTAAGTGACAAATTTGGAATTCTCTTGCTAGATAAGCAACCCAAGGTCTATCTCGTGGAGGCCTCAGTTGTCCGGAAGGGATGGCTCGGAGATCCGCTCAATTGTTGTGGCGTTGATTGATGCACTCAAGCGCACACCACACGTCACTTGTCCGCACGAATATTATAAATCTTTAATTTATATAAGATATAACTCTTTGCACTGGAACAACGCGCAGAGAACTGTAAGAATAGACTATCAAAATTTCAAAGTATCGATAAGACAGAGCGAGCTGCAGATAGACTCGGTACAAAACTTCGGATCGAGAGGCGAAGATAGACTGACTTTTTTGAGGGAGGATTTCGCGTACATCAAATCTTGGCGTCTCCTCGCGTACCCTCTCCATTAGGCAGGTAGAACTCTTTTTTAACAAATCAAATCTTTACTTATTACCCCTCTCATGAGTTGGAGGTGTTACCCTTCCAAAAGAAGGTCCAGGAAATTGCGTCCATTGGTGTAGGCTTTTGTTTTTAGAAGCTAAGTCCTGCCCATTGGAGAGTCCGCTAAGTTGACATTTTTATTATTCCCTTCATTTATCTCAAACAGGTAACACAAGAGGATGGTCTGGCAGGCGAGCACATGGTGTCAAGTATCGCGAGTTCTTGTTACGGATCGTAGTTTCATCTGTAAACCATTGTCCCCGTCCCTTTCCTTATCCTTTGTTTTAAACTCTTAAGTCTGTTGCGCAAACCTTAGAGTTGAATATTTGATCCATCTGTTTGTTTTTCATATGCACATGGTCTACATTTCTAGCGTTCGAGGGTCTGTTATCTTCTGTTTAGAATTTTCAAGTCTTTGACGTAGGTCTTAGTTTCGGAATATTTATTAATTCGTCTCACGGTTAAAAAACTTTTTTATTGTTCCGGAAGATTAGTCTCGCCTGCTAGATATGTCTTGGTTTATTGTTTGCGTCGAGTGCAGAGAGGTTCTAAAGCGTAATTTTTTATATCAGTGAAAGAGTTTCCATGAAAGAAAAGAATCGTGGAGTCCACCGGACGTAACAGCCCCTTGCGACTTCTTTTTGTTCCCAAAAATTAAATTGAGGCTCAAGGGGCGACGTTTCGAGACGGTACAAGATGTCGTAACTCGAAATCGAATAACGTAATTACGACCTATAAAAGTAAAAAAGGAGCACAGTGCAAATTCAGCACTTCGTAAGCTGTTGCGCGCGCTCCCAAAACCGCGATTAAATGCAAGATATGCAATTCGTTGCAATATGCAATTAAGACATCGCGACTTAGTACCGAAAAATCACCTATTTTCGGACCATAAAAAGAGAGATAACGAGTACCTCGGGGCCAGACCTGTAGAGGAAGGAAGGTGAGGAAATAGACGAAATATTTAATATATAACCGAAATAAATAATAATATGATAGATAAATGTTTATATTAAAATTTAAATAATTATCGGATAACTGTTTCCTTTGAGGAGAGAAAGAGGGAATGAAATGAGAATAATAAAAAAAACTTCTAATAAACTCACTATTTGCTGCGTGGGTAAGTGACAAATTTGGAATTCTCTTGCTAGATAAGCAACCCAAGGTCTATCTCGTGGAGGCCTCAGTTGTCCGGAAGGGATGGCTCGGAGATCCGCTCAATTGTTGTGGCGTTGATTGATGCACTCAAGCGAGTACCTCGGGGCCGTATTCCGAAACTAAGTGGTGACGCGTATACTTGAAGAAACTGTAAGATTCTGTAAACGCCGACATTGTTACATCGCCGAAGCATCACCAAACCGAACTCTACGATACGTAAGCTGTATAAATAAATCTTTTTGCACGGAACCCTTGAATCATCCCCAAAAATCCCGTTGTATCCGGAGAGGCACAACAAAGAGATAGAGACCTAATCGTAGAGGATGCTTTACATGCTACAGCAAAAAGAGTTTCAGGGTTTGAAGCATGGTAGAAGCGCTGGAGTGGCTGTATAAAGTCACAAGGAGACTACTTCGAAGGGGATGGAGACAAATTGTAAATAAAGTGAGCCTAACATTTTTTTATAGAGTCAGTCTGGAAAATTTTCGATAGCGCCTCGTATATCCATTACAAATTGATGATATCAATAAATAAGCGAATAAAATAAATCTCCATATCATTAAAATTATATAATTAGAATTATAAAAAAATATTAAGAAACATTAATTATTCACACACATATACACACGCGCGCGCGCACGCACACATATGTATATGAATTGTACAGAGACAATATTATTGTTTTATATGAATTTTACAGGAGACAATAATATAGAAAAGAATTGCAATGTGAATAAAATTATTCTAGTTAGTGGAAAACATTATTATGCACTTAATAATTATCGAGAAACTACTGGAAACAAAAATGTAGCTATCATCAGGATAGAAAGTCTATGTCCATTTCCTGTCTACGAATTATTGGAAGAAATTGAAAAATACAAACATGCGAGAAGTACAAAAAATTTAATTATTTTATACAGATATTGGATTATACAGGGTGTTTGATAATAATCGCTCCACCCGTAATGTGCAGGTAGAGCGGATTAAACCGAGTAGGAATGTCCTCTACCGTTTTGCGATTTTTGCAATAATTATTGAGAAAATAATTAAAAAAGATCGACCAATGCGCGCGAGTATTAGCACGCTGCGAGAAAGGACGGTCCACGCGGCATCGCGGTTGGATCACGCCACGAAGCGAAGGAGGGACGAGAGGAGCGGATAGCAATGTTTACATACGAGCATCGCGGAACACTGAATTTTTGTATAAAAAATAGGAAATATTATTCGTGGCGCGATCCAATCGCGATGCCGCGTGGGCCGTCCTTTCTCACAGCGCGCTAATACTCGCACGCAGTGGCCTATCTTTTTTAATTAATTTCTCAATAATTATTGCGAAAATCACAAAATGGCAGTGGATTTTTCTACTCGATTTAACCCGCTCTACCTGCACATTACGGGTGGGGCGATTATTATCAGACACCCTGTATATACAAGATGATATTGACTTGTCAAAAACATAATTATTTTTGGAAGTGATTTATAATATTCACACTTGTTTTCAGTTTTTATTTGGAGCCAAGAAGAACCGCGAAACATGGGCGCATGGAATTTTGTTAAACCACGTTTTGAAACTTTGTGTGGACGACAAGTAAGTTATGCATAGAATTTCTACTTGCATAGAAATTAGTTTAGAATTATAAGTGATATTAATCTTACAAAATTGTCTTATAAAATTTTCATATAAAAGAATATACTAATAATAATAACATTAAATCAGAAAAAATTCATGGCTAATGTGTTAATCTAATTATTACTTAATAATTAAACTGGAATTTAGCGAATTTTAGCGAAGTGAAAGTCAACTTTGTTTATCGAAAAGTATCAAGAGACTGGTTGGTGTCTCGACATCAAATATAAAAAAGTATACTAAAGTAATAATTAGATTACATGTTATTATTTTTTGTTGAACGATACTGCTTCTTTTTATCCAGAATTTTTTTGTCATCCATACTTTCAATTAAAATATAGAAATATAAGATAATATAAAAAATATATAACAAGATAAAATATATTTGAATAAGATATAGATATATACAGGGTGTTTCATTTTAATCGCCCCAGGCAAATATCTCGAAAAATATGAAAGATATGGAGAAACGTTTCAAACAAAAGTTATTTGATTCGAAGAGGGATATAAGATGGTATCATTGGTTTGACCTTGAGTACAAGACCCAAGATTGATCCGGCCAGTGAAGGCAAGATCCAAGATTGATCTGGCCAGTGAAGGCAAGACCGATTGACTCTGTAGGGTCACATCGAAGTCACGTTGAATGTGTATTTTTGGTTTACAGCAAATGCTCAAATGTACTACCATTCTGTTGGATACATAATTGCAACCGTTTTTCGAATGCATCGACTGTTTTTCTGAGAACTGGTATACTTCTACACGCTCGTCTGATGCGGTCCTTTAGATCTTCAGCTGTGGTAGGTGCGGTCTGGTAAACAGTATTTTTTAAATAGCCCCATAAGAAAAAATCTGATAATGTTAGATTCGGTGATCTGGATGGCCATGTTACATGACCACCTCGTCCAATCCAACGGCGCGGATAAGTTAAATTTGAAAAGTCCCTTACAGAACGTGCATAGTGTGGTCGTGCACCATCCTGTTGCAACCACATACGTTGGACTGTATTTTTATCGACAAACTCTAATATCCTTGGCAACACATCTCGTAGCATACGTAAAAATGATTCCCCTGTAACATTGCCATAAAAAAAATGGGGTCCAACAGTATGACTATCTAAAATGCCACACCAAACTATCACCTTCCACCGATGCTGATTGTCTACATGACGAACCCAGTGCGGATTGATATCAGAATTATAATGGCTATTATGCCGATTCAGTATGCCATTGCTCTCAAATGCAGCCTCATCACTAAACATAACACGAGAAAAAAATGTGGGATCGAGCTGAATTTGAGCTACAGCCCACCTGCAGAATGTGGGAAGAACTTTATCATTATCAAAAAGCTCCTGATTAAGTGAAATGTGATAAGGATGAATGTGATTGCTACGTAAAATTCTATTTACAGTCGCAGGCGACACATTTAAATCACGACTAATTTGACGTTGACTAATGTGCGGATTCATTATTACCATTTCTAATATAGTTACGATAATAACATCGTCGTTATTTAATGATTTTTTAGAACGTTTGCGTTTCATCTGTCCCGTACGCGCTCTAGCTATTAAACGCAAAATTGCTTTATGATCAGGTTGTCGTCTATCCGGATACTTATCTCGATATTGACGAGCTGCTTCTCTAGCATTATTATCAGCGGCATAATAAATACCAATTATATCAACAAATTCTGAGGGCGGGTAATCTGCCATGTTGATAATGATACAATTAACGAAAGGGAATAAAATAAATTTACTCTAATAACCAAACATATCGAACAAATTGTCGCAATATAAGCCAACTCGAGTCGATTTTAACTAAAAACAATCAGCTGAATGGGAGCCTAATAAAAGTGTTTTGTTGTAGCAGTCTATACTGAAAAAGGGCGCTGTGATTACTTCATTATTCCGTAAAAGTCAAGCTTCGGCGATCCTCCGAATACTTCAAACGCGTTTTAGGCACTCCCCCGAAATGAAAGGTGCGGTTTAGTGCTCGTAAAAATCGCAATTTTTAGCCCAAATATCTCGGAACTACTGATTTTGTAAAAAATTGTTAAGGTACCAAAAACATTTATTTTGATTAGATAAATCCAAAAGTACAATAAAAAATAGGGTAATTATTTACATTAACGGACACCTCGCCAATGACCTTGACCTTGACATATGTTGTCAAGGACATGACCCTGAGTAACTTTTTCTTATAACTTAATCGGCGGTCTCTTATAATATCGGAAATATTTAAAGTTAAAGTTTGATTCGAAACGAAAATTTGTATATCTTCCGGAAGTGGAACCCGCCCGCAGGAGGGAGGGGGGCGGAACCCACTGCGTCCACATATACACTTTCCCATCCACATAACAATCGTGGGGTGGACCTCACTTCGCGTTGTAAATATACTAATTACTTCCTTTAGCACTGACACAAAGTGGCAAATTTCTCAAACTTTTTTTGTTGATAACTTTTTAATAAACAGTGACCGCCGATTAAGTCATAAAGAAAAGTTACTCAGGGTCATATCCTTGACAACATATGTCAAGGTCAAGGTCATCGGCGAGGTGTCCATTAATGTAAATAATTACCAAAAATAGTTTTCATTTTTAAAAAATAAAGTTGTTTTTTATCTGACCTAAAATTACGATTCTTTATTCTTTGAATCCAATCTCAAAAACTATTAGTTTTACAAAAAAATATCAAAATACAAAAAATGTTTGATTGTATTATATTAAGCAAGAAATGCAACGAAAATTAAGTGCTGCTATTTAAAAAAATAAAATTGACCTTGAAAACTTACGGGGAGATCAATATCATTACCTCATGTCTCTCTCGGAACCCCAAAACATGTATGCAATATTTTTCGCTATCTTGCTTAACTTACAACGACGTAAGGTTAGGTGATAACAGCCTGGGCGATTAAAATGAAGTACGCAATACTAAACATTTTTAAAAAATAAAGTTGTTTTTTATTTGACCTAAAATTACGATTCTTTATTCTTTGAATCCAATCTCAAAAACTATTAGTTTTACAAAAAAATATCAAAATACAAAAAATGTTTGATTGTATTATATTAAGCAAGAAATGCAACGAAAATTAAGTGCTGCTATTTAAAAAAATAAAATTGACCTTGAAAACTTACGGGGAGATCAATATCATTACCTCATGTCTCTCTCGGAACCCCAAAACATGTATGCAATATTTTTCGCTATCTTGCTTAACTTACAACGACGTAAGGTTAGGTGATAACAGCCTGGGCGATTAAAATGAAGTACGCAATACTAAAATACATTTAAAATACATTTTAAAATTATTTTACGGAAACACTCTCAGACGCGGGCTAACATTTCTGGTGACACTTCAAACATATTGAATAAATATTTTTTTATTTAATCTTTTGCTCGCGCGTACGCATACACGCACAGCACAAAAGAGGTGTAAATCCGACCGGGCAACGCGGTGCACATTAGGTAATGCTAATACCGGCGGAATTGTAACTTTCAAGCCTTGTAACTCGAAAAGTATTTCATGAAAAAATACTTAATTATAGTGTTTTGAAAAGCTCTCGAGATAAGCTACAAGAATATGCAATAAAAAATAGGGGTAAATTTGAAAAGTCCCTTACAGAACGTGCATAGTGTGGTCGTGCACCATCCTGTTGCAACCACATACGTTGGACTGTATTTTTATCGACAAACTCTAATATCCTTGGCAACACATCTCGTAGCATACGTAAAAATGATTCCCCTGTAACATTGCCATAAAAAAATGGGGTCCAACAGTATGACTATCTAAAATACCACACCAAACTATCACCTTCCACCGATGCTGATTGTCTACATGACGAACCCAGTGCGGATTGATATCAGAATTATAATGGCTATTATGCCGATTCAGTATGCCATTGCTCTCAAATGCAGCCTCATCACTAAACATAACACGAGAAAAAAATGTGGGATCGAGCTGAATTTGAGGTACAGCCCACCTGCAGAATGTGGGAAGAACTTTATCATTATCAAAAAGCTCCAGATTAAGTGAAATGTGATAAGGATGAATGTGATTGCTACGTAAAAAACGGAAGTTGACCTTCAAATGACCTTGAAAATGACCTTTAATGTCAAATCCAAGGTCACTATTAGATAGCCCCCTTTGTACCCTACAACTTTTATCCGAGTCGTTTTCCTTCAAACCTTGATTCTGAAAAGTTATGAGGGTCAAACTTTTAAAATGGGACACCCTGTATATATATATAAGATATAAAGCTTAATTTAGACAGCACATGGCGCGTTGCTTGTCCGAAAAGTACCACAATTAAATAGCAGTAGCCGACTATACCCTGTAGGTTATATAAGATATAAAAGATATAAGATAAAATATATATTTCTCTTATTGTCAAAATTATATAAAATACTTTCTAAGAAAGAATCTTCTTACAGGAAGATAGAAAACATATGCCAAGTACATTAAAAATGCCCAAATCTATGCAATAAAAAGAAGTTTATGAAATAAAAACTTGTTAAGCATTGTTAAAAAATTAGTTGTCCAAAAACAGATATAATATCAACGTAATTAGCCGAGTAACTAACGATGTTCTATCAATTTATAACTGACTTTAAAAATGAGTTAGACTTTTTTTAATTTGTAAAACATAAATATTTTTATATGATATATAGTTTAAAAAAATGTTTAATGCGTATTTTCGGTCGAAATAAAGTGATAAAAGCTTGACGTGCCTTGGCGCATTAATGTATTTGTTTTAGAGTTATACAGGGTGTCCGGATATTCAACCGACAAACTTTCAGAGATTGTCGGGGGCATCCTAAGGATTACTTGTTGCAAATGGACCTAGGATCGGAAACGCATTGTTACATCGCTACGATGTCGGGAATGTCGGCAAGGCTCTGAGCAAGGTAGCCTGCCATGCACGTGACATCACAAACGCTTAATTTAGACAGCACATGGCGCGTTGCTTGTCCGAAAAGTACCACAATTAAATAGCAGTAGCCGACTATACCCTGTAGGTTAGTGCCGGAAGATAGAAACATGATCCTTATGTGCTTTCTGAGCATGTCTAATTTCTCAATATGTTCTTCCTCGTCTTGTTCAGCCACTGCCATTTAATTGGTACTTTTCGGACAAGCAACGTGCCATGCGTTGTCTAAATTAAGCGTTTATAACGTCACGTGCATGGCAGGCTGGCTTGCTCAGAGCCTTGTGCCGCCGACATTTCCGACGTCGTAGCGATGTAACGATGCGTTTCCGACCCTAAGTCCATTTGCAAAAAATGATCCTTAGGGTGCTTCCGACAATCTCTGAAAGTTTGTCGGTTGAATATTCGAACACCCTGTATATATATATATATATATATTTATTTATTTCTCATGTGCAGATAGAATGTATTAAACGAGTAGGAAGTCTCTTTTGCGATTTTCGCAATAATTAATGAGAAATTAGTTTTAAAAAGTCGGTCAATTCGTGTGAGTATAAGTGCGCTGCAAGAAGAGACAGCTCAATATTGTGGACTTTTTCCTTTTATCGCGGCCAAACGATAAGCGCGCTTGCCATTTCGATCTCTCTGTCGCGCGAATGGATATTGCGCCGACGAACGGGAGCTAGTTCGCCGAACAGAAAATACGGGAACTTCGTTGTCAAAAAAGAATAATCCGGAGGATAACGCGCTGGGTAGGAACGAGATGTTAGGAGTTCCGCGCGTGTTGTGACGGAAATCTGGATATAACACGGAAATCGAAATTGGGCGCCAGATACGGTCTCTCACGTATCAATTCGCAAAACGTAATAAGATTATTCCGAACGCGAGATATATCGAAATCCGCCACGGGCTGGCTAGCTCGTCTAACGGTAGGGGGACAAGGCGAATGTTGGATTAACACGATTATTAAGCAAGAGGAGACAGACACTGGAACGACAAACACAAACACAAACTAAAAGTAAAAATGTTAAATGGAACAAAGAAAATAATAAATTTATTATAATAACGGAGCCGAAGCTCCTCAAGAGTAATAATGATAATGATGACCGCGCAGTTATTCGGCTGCGGTAGAGATGCAAGCGCGAGACTGGGTATTAGACACGGGGCGCGAAACCCCGGAAGACTTACGCCTAGGTCGGCCCGTTATGCCGGCTACATTTCTTTCTCAGCGTCAAATACGCCTCGCACCGCGGGGATGACAAGTAATTCGCTTCGGTCTGAATCTGGGCGATAGCCCGTTCAGAATCTCGATAGAAGTCGCTTAGTTGTGTAATACTAATTAAGTAATAAAAGTTGGCGATTCGGTCGCACGAATCACCAACTCTTATTACTTAACTAGTATTACACAACTTATTTCTAACATACAGTTCGCAAACGCACATTCTTCATTCTCGGACAAATGTGATAAGCATACGGCTGTTTTATCGGCTCCGAAAGTGGATGTGGCCATATAGTTCCAGGCGGCGTAAAATGGATGTACGTGACGCTAGTGTACGACCTAGAAAAAGCGTTACACGAAAAACGGCAGCGTGGCGACTCTCATTCTTCTCTCTGATCATGTGCATCATGCATGAAACGGAACGCAGCCAAAGTTCGAACAGCTGTTGACATTGGGTCTGTTCATAGACATAGTATATCTAGACCGAGCGTTTGCCTTTATTTAAGGAGTGGGAGTAAATATACGCGTAGAAAAGGACATACTCTGTTTCGTGCCCCTTGCGTTCTCTCTCGCTCGCACGTAGCATGACGAAAGAGAGCGCTATGCTCTGTGCGAGCGAGAGAGAACGCAAGGGGCACGAAACAGAGTATGTCTTTTTCTACGTGGGCATCGGCCCCCACTCCTTAAATAAAGGCAAACGCTCGGTCTAGATATACTATGTCTATGGTCACGACCAATTATGTGATACAAGATACTACGCGCTGTGGCCGGCGGGCGGCGCACTCACGGTCGTATTGAAGGTGCGCGCATCCCCCATAATACTAACGAGAATTCGCTGGGACCTGCTCAGTGAGACCATCGTTGAGTCCAAACCATCCGTCTTGACCGGAAGTATTGCTGCGACCTTCATCGCTATCTTTTTCTGGCAGTGACTCTAAGAGGGACGGCTCCGCACAGTCCTGAGTCCTTGCGCGAGGATCTACTCGCCATTCCGTGCATCGCGCATCACACGCACAGGTCCTGATCGCGTCGTACCAAAGGATTTGCTGTTGGTTGTTTTGACGACTGGCTCCTTTCCCCTTGAAGGTCGTCCGAGATCTCCGATAGCTGTTTCTTGATGTTACTTTTCGGTCTCCCAATTTCTCCGCCGATGAGGCTCTCAAAATGTGTATTCATACGAAAAGAAATGATACACGAAATTAAATTAAAGGAAAGAATCGCAATTAATAACGCCTCTCTGGAGAATACGGTACGGCTCTCGCAATTTTTCGTCTGGCGCGGCCGTTTAGCTCGCGCTTTGCGATCGGAGAGGGATCCGGCGGACGCGCGCGAGACGGCAACGTCATAGTACTTAGCATTTGTTATTTATCTATTTTAAAAAGATTAAATTATAGAATGTTTTAGAGTTCTTATTATAGATATTTTATTTATCTTTTATAACATAAAAGATTATATTTTCAGTTAAAATACTGTGGTCGAAAACCCATGGCAGCGCCAGCTGTAGGAGATGGACAAATACATCAACAAGAAGCAAATGAAGTTATTGTTAAACCATTTACAATAAAATAATGATAAAATATATATAATCTTACAACCTCTGTATACTGCCCAAATTTTCCTTCCATTCTCCTAACGAGGTGAATGTAGGAGTGGAGATACCCATACGGTGAATGTCCCCACTTTTACATTCCCCTCGCTAGGGGAACGGAACGAATCATTGTCAGGCAGTGTACAATACTTTAATAACACATTCTATAGATAAAATAGAGCCACAAATTCTAATGCGAAAATATTGAGACCACAATAGTTTTGAGTTATAAGTGATTAAAGTTTGCCAATAATACGCTCAACGCACACTCACGCAATCCGTGTGATAATCGCGAGAGAAACTCTTATAGAACGCGCACACAATTTCTGGACGTGACTATTGACAAACAAAAAAGAGATGTGATTTACGCGATCGACACTCACACGCGGGCACCATACAAACGAAACTTACGCTTTAATGTTCGAGAACCGACGCATACATGATATATGGAATCCGAATCTCCAGAGAGGCAATACGCAGTTTATTAAACACGATGTCAATATCTCAATTCGCGGAAACTGTTACTCTAAAGGCTCCGAGGCTCGAATCGTTTGACGACGTGCTGTGACGTTAAAAATTATACCAAAAAATTGAGCATAAACCGTACGCAAAAATACGAATTCACTGTGATGACGACAGAACGATACAATCCCGGGCGCATGATACAATCGCGCGTGGCTAATCTCACAGAGGATAATCTCACCGGCACGATACTCCTTCACGGGGCAGCCAAGGGAGTCGACAGCGTCCTCCCGTCAAGGTTCTCTCTCTCTCTCTGCGGTCGCCGGGGTCCTTTCCGCTCGGTATGGCTGCAACGATCGCTCTCACTTTTAGTCTTGGTGGCTCTCAAAACGCTCTATATTGCATGAACGTCCGCGCCAGTCTGACCCCGGGATCTTCGCGATCCGAATTGATACCGCGGGGCCTGCCGGGGCTGCGCACACGGGGTGCGTATTGTCACGACCATAGACATAGTATATCTAGACCGAGTGTTGAGAAGTGGGGGCCGATGCCCACGTAGAAAAGGACAACCATTTACAATAAAATAATGATAAAATATATATAATCTTACAACCTCTGTATACTGCCCAAATTTTCCTTCCATTCTCCTAACGAGGTGAATGTAGGAGTGGAGATACCCATACGGTGAATGTCCCCACTTTTACATTCCCCTCGCTAGGGGAACGGAACGAATCATTGTCAGGCAGTGTACAATACTTTAATAACACATTCTATAGATAAAATAGAGCCACAAATTCTAATGCGAAAATATTGAGACCACAATAGTTTTGAGTTATAAGTGATTAAAGTTTGCCAATAATATTGCGTAGAATTCGTACACTCAGGCCTGTAATTATACTTACATATTTACCGATTTATCATCTATTATTAATTTTCACAAAGTAATATTGATTTTTATTTTACAGCTGATTTTACTTTATCGTTTCTTATGTATATGTAAATACTATATACATATGTATCTGTAAGCATTACAGCGGTCAGCTAATATTAACAAGTTATGACTCTCTGTTATACGTAAAATATATAACTTATTAAATAATAATTTAAATGAGAGACTTATTACATTTAAATAATTATTAAACTTAATATTTAAAGGATAAGTAATATTTAAAATATAAAAGCTGGTTCTAGTCTAAGTCCTCTGAGGGAAAAGCACGTCGAGGATGACTTTTTTCGGGAAGACGTGACATGGTGAAGAAAGGAAGGAGGGAGGGAGAGAGAAGTTTGCGGTTAATCGCATCCGGTGATAACACATCTGGTGCTAAAGCACAAGATGATATCGTATCTAATAACATGTCCTAACGTGTTCAAGGTATTCGACGTGATTTAATTCGCATTCGGTGGCGTCATGTCCGAGTGTGTTCAAGATCGAAGACGTGACTTAAGCTACATCCAGTTGCGTCATACAGTCCCTAAGGCCCGTTCTACAATAAGTCGTATGTCGTTAGTCGTAAGCAAATTGATCAATCACAGTCGATTATTTCTGGAATTATCGACTTTGATTGGTCAATTTGCTTACGACTAACGATATACAATTTATTGTAGGACGGGCCTAAAAGTAAGAATCTGGAATCTGTCGTCCAATTTTTGATTAGCTTGATACGAAATGGCGGTATCAGTCAGTAATGACTGAGCGGACTATCTGAAAAGCAGTAATGTGAAAAAGAAAAAGTACAAATACATTTTAATAGTTTAATTGTTATCAAATAATTCTAGATACGCACACACAACCCTCCCCCCCCGCACACACATATCCACACACTCACACACTCACACACTCACATATGCACACACGCACTCACGCACACACTCACACACACATACAAGGATATATATATAGGGTGACCCACCAAAAGTGGCCACCTCTTTTTATCTTTTAAACTGAAAGAGATAGACCGTAACAAATATATATCAAATTAAATGGTTCAAACTGGACTTTATTGTGAGCATAATGGTTGCTTTCAAAAATTATCTGTGTTAACGAACGGAGAGGTATGCATAATTTTTTTATAATATTTTATATATTATATATGTTTTATCAACTTGTGTGGGAGCGATATAGTTAAATAACTAAACTTCGGTAATATAATATAAAATATTTAATATTACAGAACGATGTTTACAGGATGATGGACAATAAACGAATGAATAAATGTTTCACAATTTGTTGTATGTTTTTAATGTTGTTATGTAAAATGTTTAATCAATAAATGAGATGTGTGAAAAATGTATTTAATCAAAACGTTTTTAACATGAAGATATTTATCTTTTTCAGGAGGATTTTCAATCAAATCAGCAATAGCCAACAAAGCTTGCTCATCAAGATGCCGTATAACCGAGCTATACTTAACATCATCTGAGCGGATCCGAAAAACCAAGAATTCGCTTTCTAATTGAGCAAACCACAATTTAGGCTGCTTATGCCAAAAATTCGGCAATTTAACAAGGCGAAATTCGTTAGAATGGATCTCGTTTGGCTGACCTTGTTGATGAGGCTCATTACTGGCAAGAGTTTGTGTCGGATTCGTCAAACGTTGATGATGTTCTCCAGCCGATGGAACTGATGCTGACGCTGTAGGATTCGAAGTCGAAGATTCGTCCAAAGGCATCGTCAAACTCTGTCAATACTCTGCGTTGTGAATTTCAGAAGTCTAGTAGTTCGCTGTCCTTGGAAATTCGATGACTCGAAAATCTCGTCAACTCGAAGAACACAAGCCACAAATCACACAAGAATCACAGCGGAACTCGAAACTCGATGGCTCACTAAATTCGCGGATCACTGATTCAAATTCGCCACACTTGAACGTGAATTCTCGAAAGCCCGTTATCACGTCGGGGTCACCAGTTGTGGTAGCGTTATAGTTAAATCACTAGACTTTCCTTTTTACTAATAAAATATTTAATTCACGAGTAAGATGTGTACAGATTGATGGTCAATGAACGAACGAATGGATGTTACATAATTTGTCGTATGTTTAATATGTTGTTATGTAAAGTGTTAAATCAATAAATGAAATGTGTGAAAATGGTTATAAATATATTTCATGAAGTTGGTAACAAAAATGATTTTGAATTCAGCCGCAGGAAGGCCACAGTACTCCCCTCCCAGCGACGTACTACGTTGCGAATCTAACTTTCTTCCTTGGACCAGAATATGTTCTGAGTTGTTTTCCAAGTAAGGTTGACTGAGGTGAATTGGAAGAAGAAGGAGAAGGAGACGTCATGATAATCACATCATCGCTGGTTTCTTTCGGTAGGAAGGCTGGTTTAAGACGTTCTGTGGTGATATTGACAATTTTTCCTGCAACATCGATTGCAAATAGATTATCATTAATTCTATTAACAATACGAAAAGGGCCAGAATAAGGAGGTTGAAGAGATTTTCTAACTGCATCTTCACGAAGCCAAACGTGAGTACAATCATATAAATTTTTATAAAAGAAAGGTGTTTTTTTGTGGTGATGTGCAGTAGGTCTTGATTTGATCTCTCTTATATGTATCCTATGTTCTTAAATGAAAATTTCAGGGTCAGATGGAAGATCCTCTCCAATGAAAAATTCTCCAGGAATTCTTAATGCAGATCCATAAAGCATTTCCGCAGGAGATGCATTCAAATTTTCTTTAAAGCAAGTACGAAGTCCAAGTAAAACAGTTGGCAAAATCTCAATCCAATTTTCATTTGCGTGACACATAATAGCACTCTTCAATGTACGGTGCCATTGTTCCAGGATGCCATTGGAAGCCGGATGATAAGCTGAGGTTCTAATTCGCTCGCAACCAATTAGGTTGGTAAGAGCCTTAAATAATGCAGCTTCAAATTGAGGACCTTGATCGGTTGTGATCGTCTGAGGAGTACCATACCTCGCAAAAGTGCGTATAAAAGGCTGTAGTAACAGTATCTGCTGAAATTTCAGTTAGAGGAATTGCCTCTGGCCATCTAGAAAATTTGTCAATCATGGTTAAACAATAACGAAAATTTTGACAAATAGGAAGAGTACCAATCAAATCTAGATGAATGTGCTGAAAACGTTGATCCGGAATAACAATCTTTTGAGGAAGATTCTTGGTATGCTTTTGGATCTTGGCACGTTGACAAGGCAGACAAGATCTAGCCCATTCTTTTATATCCTTCTTCATAGTTGGCCGAATAAATTTTTGTTGTATTAGTTTACAGGTAGAACGATCACTTGGATGAGATAAACCATGAACAAAATCAAAAATTTTTCTGCGAAGCTGTTGAGGTACATAAAAACGAATATTAACGGTAGAGCAGTCACAGAAAATAAGCGTAGTCGAGCTAGTAAGTATAAATTTTTGAAGCTTGAGAGAAGAATTAATGAGAAGTGTTTTTAATTCCTCATCTTCTTTTTGTAATTCTGCTAACTCTTCCAGAGAAACTATGATAGGCATCGAAACAGATTCAATTCTAGAGAGGGAATCTGCAACTACATTTTGTTTACCAGATATATGCTCGATGTTTGTTGAAAATTGAGCAATGAAATCAAGATGTCGGATCTGTCTGGGCAAAGCTTTATCTAATTTTTGTTGAAAAGCATAAATTAAAGGTTTATGATCTGTCCGAATAAGAATCTGACGTCCTTCTAGTATGTACCTGAAATGTTTGATGGCTAAATAAATACCAAAAAGTTCACGATCGTAAGTACTATAATTACGTTGAGTGTCATCCAATTTCTTTGAGAAAAATGCAATTGGTTTATTAATCCCATCGATTATTTGTTCTACTAGCACGCAGCGCGCGCTACGCGCGCGCCATCCGCATGATTCGCGAAAGGCGGACGTTTCGGCCCTTTTTTTGGCCATCATCAGCGCAAATAATACTAAACTCAATTCGCTGAAAAAATTTTTGCTGTCGACTTGTGCGTTGCGTCTCTTTTATACACAACTATTAATGTATCACCATGTTCGTGGATTCATGCTTAAATAATCGAGGTTTCTGCCCCGAAATAACATGGACTACATGGAGAATGGTTTTTGCCTTTTGAAGTCCAAGTAAAACTGTTGGCAAAATTTCAATCCAGTTTTCATTTGCGTGACACATAATAGCACTCTTCAATGTACGGTGCCATCGTTCCAGAATACCATTAGAAGCCGGATGATAAGCTGAGGTTCTAATACGCTCGCAACCAATTAGGTTGGTGAGAGCCTTAAATAATGCAGCTTCAAATTGAGGACCTTGGTCGGTTGTGATCGTCTGTGGAGCACCATACCTCGCAACCCAGTGCGTATAAAAAGCTGTAGAAACAGTATCAGCTGAAATTTCAGTAAGAGGGATTGCTTCCGGCCATCTAGAAAATCTGTCAATCATGGTTAAACAATAACGAAAATTTTGACAAATAGGAAGAGGTCCAATCAAATCTAGATGAATATGCTGAAAACGCTGATCTGGAATAGCAATCTTTTGAGGAAGATTCTTGGTATGCTTTTGGATCTTGGCACGTTGACAAGGCAAACACAATCGAGCCCATTCTTTTATATCTTTCTTCATAGTTGGCCAAATAAATTTTTGTTGTATTAGTTTGCAGGTAGAACGACCACTTGGATGAGATAAACCATGAACAACATCAAAAATTTTCCTACGAAGCTGTTGAGGTACATAAGGACGGATATTAACAGTAGAGCAGTCACAGAAAATAGGCGTAGTCGAGCCAGTAAGTACAAGTTTTTGAAGCTTGAGGGAAGAACTCGTGAGAAGTGTTTTCAATTCTTCATCTTCTTTTTGTAATTCTGCTAACTTTTCCAGAGAAACTATGATAGGCATCGAAACGGATTCAATTCTAGAGAGTGAATCTGCAACTACATTTTGTTTACCAGATATATGCTCGATGTTTGTTGAAAATTGAGCAATGAAATCAAGATGTCGGATCTGTCTGGGTGAAGATTTATCCGATTTTTGTTGAAAAGCATAAATTAAAGGTTTATGATCTGTCCGAATAAGAATCTGACGTCCTTCAAGTATGTACCTGAAATGCTTGATGGCTAAATAAATACCAAGAAGTTCACGATCGTAAGTACTATAATTACGTTGAGTGTCGTCCAATTTCTTTGAGAAAAATGCGATTGGTTTATTAATTCCATCGATTATTTGTTCCAAAGATGCACCAACTGCAAAATCCGATGCGTCACAAGTGAGGATAAGAGGTACAGTTGAAGCCGGATGTGCTAAAGTTGTGACTCGTAAGAGTTTTTCTTTGCAATTTTTGAAAGCTTCTTCAGCTTCAGAAGTCCAAATGATTAATCTTTTATCCCTTTTCCTGCTATCCTTAAGATAATCCGTAAGAACTGCCTGATGTCATGCAGCATTTTTTAGACAACGACGGTAAAAGTTGATAATTCCTATAAATCTTCTTAATTCATGAATTGTTTTAGGTTTTTTATAATCAATTATGGCTTTAACCTATTCAGATGTCGGTTTAATTCCTTGCTTGGAAACTAAATAACCAAGGAAAGAAATTTCACCCTTACCAAAGAGACATTTGGACAAATTAATCGTCATGCCGAATTGTTGAAGCCGAGTAAACACAGTATGAAAATGTTTGGCATGTTCTTTCTCATTTACAGAAGCAATTAAGATATCGTCAAGATAACAGACACAAAAATCAAGTCCAGATAATATGATGTTCATAAGACGTTGAAAAGTTTGAGCAGCATTACGCAAACCAAAGGGCATTACAAGAAATTCAAAAAGGTTGAATGGAGTAGTAATAGCTGTTTTGAAAACGTCCTCTTTTGCAACTGGCACTTGGTAATAGGCTTTAACTAAATCAATCTTTGAAAATATATTTTTTTGATGGCTAAATAAATACCAAGAAGTTCACGATCGTAAGTACTATAATTACCTTGAGTGTCGTCCAATTTCTTGATTATTTGTTTCAAAGATGCACCAACTGCAAAATCCGATGCGTCACAAGTGAGGATAAGAGGTACAGTTGAAGCCGGATGCGCTAAAGTTGTGACTCGTAAGAGTTCTTCTTTGCAATTTTTGAAAGCTTCTTCAGCTTCAGAAGTCCAAGTGACTAACCTTTTATCCCTTTTTCTGCTATCCTTAAGATAATCCGTAAGAACTGCCTGATGTGATGCAGCATTTTTCAGACAACGACGGTAAAAGTTGATAATACCTATAAATCTTCTTAACTCATGAATTGTTTTAGGTTTTTTATAATCAATAATGGCTTTAACCTTTTCAGATGTCGGTTTAATTCCTTGCTTGGAAACTAAATAGCCAAGGAAAGAAATTTCATCCTTACCAAAGAGACATTTGGACAAATTAATCGTCATGCCGAATTGTTTAAGCCGAGAAAACACAGTATGAAGATGTTTGGCATGTTCTTTCTCATTAACAGAAGCAATTAAGATATCATCAAGATAACAGACACAAAAATCAAATCCAGATAGTATAATATTCATAAGCCGTTGAAAAGTTTGAACAGCATTACGCAAACCAAAGGGCACCGCAAGAAATTCAAAAAGGCCAAATGGAGTAGTAGCAGCTGTTTTGGGTATGTCTTCTTTTGCGACTGGCATTTGATAATAGGCTTTAACTAAATCAATTTTTGAAAATATATTTTTACCGTGTAGATCAGCAGTGAAATCTTGAATGTGAGGAAGCGGGTATCGATCCGGAACGGTGGCTGCATTTAAAGCTCGATAGTCGCCGCAAAGTCTCCATGAGTTCGGTCCGTTTTTGGGAACCACGTGAAGTGGAGCTGCCCAGGTACTGCTTGACGGTCTACAAATTCCTTGTTCCACCATAACATTAAATTCGTCCCTTGCAAATTTTAATTTTTCCGGTGACAACCTGCGAGGAGTTGAAGCAATTGGTGGTCCTTTTGTAATAATATGATGCTCAATTTGGTGAATCTTGGTTGTTGATATAGGAGCAAAATGAGTTAGCTCAGGAAACTCAGCAAGAATCTTATGGAAAGGTGAGTCAGAAAATGTAGTGCGAATCGATAAGTGATTAACTTTAGATAGTTTTCCTTTAAATGAAAGACCGGTAACACTATCAAGAAATTTTTTATTTTTAATGTTAACTAAGATTCCATAGTGACTCAAAAACTCTGCACCTAATATAGGTCTCTGAATATCCGCAGTGCAAAATTTCCATTTAAAAACTCTTCGTAGTCCAAGATTTAAAGTTAACGTTTTTATACCGTAGGTATTAATCCTGGTTCCGTTAGCTGCATAAAGTTTGAAAGAAGAAACTTGAGCTTTAGCACCAAATTTTTTGTGATAAAAGCAAATTTTTTGGTTATCTTTATCAAATTTGTTTCTAGAAGATGATCTAAATCTTCTTTTTTCATTGTATCTAAATTTTGATCTGCTGCGTACACGTTTTACTTCTAGAGCTGCGATTCTACGTTCGAGATAAGCAAGATTCGACGTGTTTTTCTCCACAGGAGAAGCTATTGTCGCTACTTGAAGGCTAGTTTCACGATCCAAAATTTTATCAGCTAATTCAGCAAGCTTGATTAAAGGACAATCTTCCACAATCGCTAAAGTGGCTTGAACTTGAGAAGGGAATCTTTGCAACCAAATAGAATGTAATACATTTTTTGAAATTGCTCCTCCCGCTAATTGTTTAATTTCGCGTAACAATTCTGACGGTTTTTTGTCATTCAACTCTGTACCAGCTAATAATTGACGAAGACGATTTTCTTCAGAATCGGTAAACCGATTAATTAAAATGTTTTTAACATGAAGATATTTATCTTTCTCAGGAGGATTCTCAATTAACTCAGCGATAGCTAATATAGCTTGCTCATCAAGGTGCCGTATAATCAAGCTATACTTAATATCGTCAGAGCGGATCCGAAAAACTAAGAATTCGCTTTCCAGCTGAGCAAACCAGAATTTAGGTTGCTTATGCCAAAAATTCGGCAATTTAATAAGGCGAAATTCATTAGAATGGATCTCATTTGGCTGACCTTGTTAATGCGGTTCATTACTGGTAAGAGATTGTGAAGGATTCGTCAGATGTTGATAATGTTCTCCAGTTGATGGAACTGATGCTGATGCTGTAGGAGTCGCAGTCGAAGATTTGTCCAAAGGCATCGTAAAATACTGCCGATGTTCTGCAATGTGAAGTTCAGAAGTCTAGAAGATCGCTGTCCTTGGAAATTCGATGACTCGAAAATCTCATCGACTCGAAGATCACAAGACACAAATCACACAAGGATCACAGCGGAACTCGGAACTCGTCGGCTCACAGCACTCACGGATCACTGATTTAAATTTGCCGCGCTTGAACGTGAATTCTCGAAAGCCTGTGATCACGTCGGGGTCACCAGTTGTGGAAGTGATATAGTTAAATAACTAGACTTCGGTAATATAATATAAAATATTTAATATTATAAAACGATGTTTACAGGATGATGGACAATAAACGAATGAATAAATGTTTCACAATTTGTATGTTTTTAATGTTGTTATGTAAAATGTTTAATCAATAAATAAGATGTGTGAAAATAGTTACAAATGTATTTTATGAAGTTGATAACAAAATGATCTTGAATTTAGCCGCAGGAACGCCATACTTGAAATATCGCGGGCGACATCTGCCTTTCCATTTTCGGCCCTGCGATATGGCCAACTTCGGATTGAATATTATGATCAAATGACAACATGACATATGTTAATCTTTAATGCACGAGTCAGAAGTTGGTCATAACGCAGGGCAGAAAGTGAAAAGGTAGACGTCGCCCGTGATATTTCAAGTCGATAAAACTCGTATAATATGTAAAATATTTACATTATATCATACATCGTTATATTCGTTTCAAACAGTGCTACAACTTTTATCATATCGAAATATCCACATTATTATAAAAAATTATTACCACAAAAATTATTACCACAAAAATTATATCCACATTATTATGCATATCTCTCCGTTCGTTAACACAAATAGCTTTTGGAAGTAACCACTATGCTCACAATAGAGTTCAGTTTGAAACATTTAATTTGATATATATTTATTATGATCTATCTCTTTTAGTTTAAAAGATAAAAGGGGGTGGCTATATATATATGTTGGATTTGTAACTTGCGAATTTATATCCGGATCGCGTAAGTCTTGCGAGCAATGTCACAACACGCGGAACGGGATTATTAATTCTTACAAGGCGATATCTGATCAGCGAATTATTATATTTAGCGATACAAAAAACAATCTTAGCATAATGCCTGATAACACGTCGTTTCCGAAAGACTTTTGCCGACAGAGTGAGTCGAGTGTTTATGTACGTGTGTTTGTTACGTGTATATATAAAGTCACTGTATTTTGTCTTGAGTCTTAACCGGCAGATGTCATTACATATATAATTACACACAGATATGATATTCAACAATATATATTCTACAAAATTATATTTGTAAATTTATTTACTATTAGATTACTATTAGATGTAATTATATTTTACAATGAATATTTTATTTCTTCAAAATTTGTATGTAAAAAATTTTACTATTATTATATTATTTTATTTATTGCATTTCTATCGTATACGTTACTTGCTGCAGTATTAAATAGCGCTGATTCAGAGGATGGGATATCCACCACGCCTCTCTACTTAACAGATGCATGAATACTTAAAATGATCCGCTCTTCAGACATCTGTTCCGTTTTAAATCCACTTGCAACAATAAACAACTATGCTGCGCACATAGATTAATATCAATATAATTATGAGAAAAATTGTGTTATATGAATTTATGTAATTTAAAATCTGAAAAAACTTCGATTATACAATATCATATTAAAATATCAAATTTATTATAATAAAAATATGATTCTTTGCGCTTATCAGAAACGCAACAACAGAGATGCTAGAATATATTATTATATTTTTATCTCGCGAAAACCATAATAAATATATAATACAAATCCCCGCAAAACCATACAATTTTTGTTCAAAACGTTTTTCTCTAAAATGCTTAGTTCTTGAAAGAAAAGGGGTGTACGGGTGGTCTGGGACACCATGTATATAATACTAATAATATACATACGGGGTGATCCGGAACAACCGTTTGTTCTTAAAAGGTCGTATTCCTGAATCAATACTAAGACGATTTTTCCTTTACGAAAATTTTGTCTGAAGCTTAGTTTTTAAATCATAAAAAGAAATAGTTAGCGAATTACGGGACGAGTACAGAAGGTAGGCAGGGGCGGTACAACTTACCGTTCGATGCAGGCGCTTACGTGACAGCTGGTCGAGCGCTGTTTGCTACACGCAATGGGTGTGTGTATGTGTGAGAACGTGTACGCGAGATGGTAGCTCGCGTCAATCACGTGACACACGGGGGCGATGCGTAGCGCCGGGCATAGAGTCGTAGGCTGGTAATCGTGAGATTCCAGGTTCGATTCCGCTCGGGTCCCATCCTCCCACATGCCTTAGAGAGGTTTTCACGAACTCAAATTAACTTAGCAGAAATTATAAATACAGCATATATATATATATATAGTAACATTTTACCAGTTTATGGCCGTATGGCGAATATTCACGAGTGCCAACCCCACACGAAGAAAGAGAGAGAGAGAGAGAGTGCGTGCGTGCGTGCGTGCGTGCGTGTGTATACGTTCTCACACACACACACACACACACACACACACACACACACACACACACACACACACACACACACACACACACACACACACACACACACACACACACACACACACACACACACACACACACACACACACACACACACACACACACACACACACACACACACACACATTCTCACACACACACACACACACACACACACACACACACACACACACATTGCGTGTAGCAAACAGCGCTCGAACAGCTGTTGCGAGCACCTCACGTAAGCGCCTGCATCGGACAGTGAGTTGCGCCGCTCCTGCCTATCTTCTGTACTCGTCCCGTAATTCGCTAACTATCTCTTTTTATAATTTAAAAACTAAGCTCCAGGCAAAATTTTCGTAAAGGAAAAATCGTCTTAGAATTGATTCAGGAATACGACCTTTTAAGGATAAACGGTTGTTCCGGATCACTCCGTGTAATATAAAAAATGATACAAATATAAAAATATCATAGACATATTAATATAGATAGCAAACAAATTTTAATAACACTAGATGTTTTATTATTATATGTGCAACTTTCTTCAATGCAATAAAATATTATTTATTTATTATATAATTAATTATATTTTCGAGAATCTTTCTATTTGAATTTTTTCAATGCAGTACGATTACTCATCTTATGGGATAAGAATATTAAAGGCAATATGTACAGTTTACAATAGCAAGTACCCACTCGGCATGTAATATTTCTGATACATTGCTGCAATATTCTATTTGAAATATTACACCTTTCAACAATATTATAGAAATATTTCACGACCGTTTCTGCAACATTTCTGCAATGTTTCAATGTCCGCAATCATTTCAAATGCAACCTTGCTAAAAGATTTCAGCAATATTTCGGTAATATTACTGAAATATTTCTGAAACATATCCCAAGT